CCCCCGCTCTCCCTGCCGCCTGCGCCGGCGAGGACAAGGCAGCCCACAAGATGTTCCCCGTCTTCTGGCTGGTGCGCCGGGGCGCCGGCGGGGCCGTCGTCGGGCGGCGGAGGGGAGCGGGGGAGGGCTCCCCCAAGCGCCACCATGGAGCACGCGCGTCGGCGGGAGCCGGGGGCAGCCGAGCAGGCGCTCTTGCCCGAGGGCGTTTCGGGCGCAGCTCGGGGCCTGTCGGTGGCCGCAGGGGAGGGGTGGGAGGGGGTGAGGGGGGGGGGATGGGAGGGGTGGGAGGGGTGGGAGGGGAGGGGTGGGAGGGGGTGAGAGGGCTGGGAGGGGAGAGGGGAGGGGAGGGGAGGGGTGGTAATTAGGGGTCGGAGGGGAGGGGTGGGAGAGGTGGGAGGGGAGAGGGGAGGGATGGGAGAGGGTGGGGGAGAGGTCAGGGGTGGCGACGCGGGGGGCTGGCTCAGGAGGGGGGCGGGGGCTTCGATTCCCAAGCGCAGTTGCCCACTCCTCGCCGGTGGGGCCCGGGTGGCCTTTCGCTGATCCATCGGCGGTAATCCAGAAGCTGGAATAAAGTGACAATGTTGCCCTTCTGTGACAGAAGGGCTCTTTTTCTTGGAGAGGTGGAGGCTCTCTGTGACAGAAGGTGTCCCCCCATCGGCGGTACGGCAGAGGTGATGATAGGATTATTGTAACGGTAATGGTAATCGGTAGACGGTAACGGCGTGGTGATGGCGATCGTGATTGTGATCGTGATTGCGGTAGCTATGGTGATCACGTTTTGGTGATTGTCATGGTAATGGCGGTCATGGTGCTAATGCCGATCGTGATTATGATGAGGATTGCGGTAACGAAGGTGATGATCGTAGTGGGTGTGGTGGTGACGGGTACGATCATGTAGGTGATGATGATAGTGGAGGTTGTGATGATAGTGGTGGTGGTAGTGATGCGGATCGAGATGGTGATGACGATAAGGATAAGGAGGATGAGGAAGGCGATGGGGAGGTGGAGTAGGATACGTTTAGGGAGTGCAGAAGTAGAGTGGAGCTAGAAAGGGGGAGCGTGAAACATGCTGATAGTTGCAACGCTTGGCGCCCCACGTTTCTCGCATGACCAGCGCTCCCCGTCGTAGGTCGCGAGGCGGTGCCCGTCCACCCAGACCGACCAGCGCGCCTAATCGAATTTTGATTGCCCCCCCTGGTCCCCGCAACTGGGTGGAGTTTTGCTAAGTGTAGTTTTTGATGTGTTCGACTGAGAGTTGGGAGAGATGCCGGAACGAACCAGAGGTGTGCGTGTCCATGGCCACGTTCGAGTACCTCATGGACTTGAGGCTGACGAGCTACGAGGACGCTCCCGCGCTGCCCGCCCGCCGCCGCCTCTGCGTCGTGCCCCTGGAGGTCTCAGGATTGCAAAAAAAACGAAAGATTGCAACAAAAACGAAGGTTTTTTTTTTTGTGGTTTTGCAATCCTTCGTGCAAAAAAAACGAAGGGTTTTTTTTTGCAATCCTTTGCAAAGGTTTTTTTGCAATCCTTCGTTTTTTTGCAGTCCTTCGTTGCAGTGGGGATGTTTCGTGCCCGCCCGTCGCCCCCCTCTCGTGGGGAGAAGTGCAATGCCACCGCGCAGCCTCATTTGTGAAACGAGGACGCCCCCCCCCAGCCTCGAAGGCACGCCACGTGCCCCCCCTCAGATACCCCGAGGGGACCTCGGAGGCGGCTCGAGTTGTCCCCAACATGTCTGCAATGCCCCCAGGTGTGCCCAGCACAGCCCACGGACAGTCAGAGCATATGGACTTTCTTCTTGTCTTTGTTGGATTTGTGTGTATTTGATTGGCTAGGGAGCCCCCAAGATCTCTTTAAAACGGCTCAAAAACGCCCCCGAACGGCCCACACTGGCCCCAAGACGCCCCAGGAGGGCCACTGGAGTGTTCAAGACTGCCCGAGAGGGCCCCAAGGCAGCCTGAGGTGGGCCCACATTAGCTCAAGCTGGCTACACGAAGACTGCCCAAAAGAAAAAACATACGGGAGCCCCAAGGACGACCGCAACACAGCCCCCAGGAACCCCATGAGACCCCTGGGCGCGACCTCTGACATATTGCCTTCAGACAGTCCAATAATAAACTCAAGAGAGCCGTCCATGCCAAGCCAACCCAAGGATGTTTCACTTTCCACCACTTCTTCCCTCATCCTCCTGCTGCTGCTAGTGCTCTTCCCCTTTTTCCTTCGTATCCTCCTCGGAGGAGCGCGTCAGAGCGCTCCGAAAGCTCCTCAGACTCCCTCGCCTCGTTTCACCTTCCTGACCTTTTCCCTTCTCCTCCCCCCCGCAACCCTCCCCATTCCGCTCCCTCTCACTTTGCATCCTCTCTCCTCCCTCTGCCCTCCTCCTCCTCGTCCAGACTCGACTTGCACCATCTCTGAGGCAACTGGTTTATGTTTTCCTTGCCTTTGGTGTGAGGGCTTCAATCAACTGTTGATTGCGTCCAGGTCCCAGTCCCGAGGATCCGTGATTCGTGCGATCGTTCGCCTGCAGGTCGCAGTTGCCTGCCCTCCTCTTCCGATTGTGAAGCAGATGCGTCGTCTGCACCCTCGGGCCGCCCCTGCTCGTTCCTGGCCCGCTTTCCCTGTCCAACTGCCCGCAGCTCGTGCGATTGCTTGCCCGAGGGGGCACCGCCTGCGGGGAGGGGTGGGAACGCCACGCCAACCCCAGAAGGATGGACTTCGTCTACAGGATCAGACAAGCGTTGGAGGGCAGATCGCGTGGGGGTCGGGATGGGGCTGTCCAGCGCATGGCGTGGGGGTGCTGGATCGCGTGCGAAGTCGCTTGGGCACGCGTGGCGGGGTGGCCAGGTGTGTGTGCGTGTGTGTGTGTGTGTGTGTGTGTGTGTCTGTGTCTCTTGCCGCCTCGCCCCCACCCTTTTGGCTTTCGGGACGGGTACCCGCCGTCGGCCCTGGCGCCGCCCCCCCCTCGCCCCAGCCGCCAGCGCCCAGCTGCGGCCGCTGCTCCCCTTGCCAGGCCGGCCCGCGCGCGCGCGCCCGCGGGACTTCGGCTCCGGAAGCCCGCGCCCGCGGGACTGCCGGTCCGGGTTACGGCTTGCGACCAGGCCCAGGCCCCGACGCCGGAAACGTGTGTGTTAGTATGTTTCTGTTTGTGTGTGCGTGTGTGTGCGTGTGCGTGTGTGCGTGTGTGCGTGTGTGCGTGTGTGCGTGTGTGTGTGTGTGTGTGTGTGTGTGTGTGTGTGTGCGTGTGTGCGTGTGTGCGTGTGTGCGTGTGTGCGTGTGTGTGTGTGTGTGTGTGTGTGTGTGTGTGTGTGTGTGTGTGTGTGTGTGTGTGTGTGTGTGTGTGTGTGTGTGTGTGTGTGTGTGTGTGTGTGTGTGCGTGTACGTGTGTGCGTGTGTGCGTGTGTGTGTGTGTGTGTGTGTGGGTGTGTGTGTTTGTGTGTGTGGACTTCCACCAGCACTCTCCCAACCAGAGACAGGCACCACACAGGCCGGGCAAGGACCACTGAGCCAGGTGAGACACGTCAGGGCCCCAGTTGCACCACCGCTCGAACGCCCTGGCCCCTACTCCCACTGCGCGGAGGACACCGAAGCCTGGACACCCTATTCCAGGTCCAGCAGGATAATTCAGCCAAGGTGGCCAGAGGATGTTCCGCAAAGGTCCCCACGCTGGCGCTCTCGCGGTGTCTCCTCTGACGGTGCGTGTTCTGGGGGTGCGGCGGCCAGGGCAAGCGATGAATCGTGGGGCCAATGTTGTCCCATCAGCTCGGCGCGGCCCAATGGGTACAGTCCAGGCCCCTTACCAGAGCCAGACGACCGACCCTTGAGGGGACAACCGTTCCCGAGCAGCCCGCTTAGACTTAGACCCCAACACCGCTCCCGACAACAACTCCTTGACGGTCGATTTCTTTTGGTGGACGCGGCAGGGCTCCCCCAAGGGCAAGCCCTTCTCCAAGAGGCGGGTGAAGTATTGCCTGGCCCTCCGCCCGCAGTTCGCCAATCCGATCTAGCGTACCGACGCGGAGATTCGGACCTCTCCAGAACAAGAGGGTCGGCTGGCCCAGCATGACGAACAGGTGGCCAGCCAGGGGCGCGGCCAAGGTCGCAAGAGGACTGCGCCGCGCCCTGTCTGGGATCTGATTCTGGTCTGTTCCGTTCACTGGCATCCTGCCCCCCAGTGCCCCACCACACCTGGCGGCTTCTGTGTTTCGACACGGGCCCGCCTTACCTCCTTACCACCTCGCCCCCTGGCGCCAGGCTGGTCGGCTCTCGTGGGCGGGATCACGAATGCCTGCGACGGGCTCGCCTTGTTTTTTTGGTGGGCTCTGGCCGAGTAATGCGCTCGCCTGGCGAGCTGTTAGGCTGAGCGGTGATTGGTCTAGCGAATACCTGAATTCACTCTTCCCCTCTCGTCTGTTTCGCACGCACGCAGCTTAACAGTTTCCTCTTCTAGGAGAGCCTCTCGGCCCCCTGGGGCTCGCCCAGCGTGTCACTCGATCGTTCTGGACCACTCCCTGCGGGGTGCTTGCTCTGACATGTTCTCGCGCCTGTCTCGCCGCCGGAGCGCGCTGTGCTGGGCTAGTCCAACGAGGCTGTCTCGTGCGCCTGATCTGGCCTGTGGCGCCAGGCTTGGGACTGGGGGTGCCTTCCCCTCCTTCTCCCTGGACCTCGCCCCCCCGTCCTCCTACTGCCTGGGGCTCTCACTCGGGGAGGCGCGTGGGGCCGTCCTTCGGCTTCGGGCCTGGGGCCCTGCTCACCGCACGCGCTCCTCTCTTGCCCCCTCCCCCGGCGAGAAACACCGCCGACCCGCGAGGTGGCGCCGACCGCCTCGCTGCTCTTTGAGCTGGGCGCCCCGCTCTCGCTGGCCATCTTCGCGGTGGTGGCCCTGAAGGAGCCCCACGGAGCGCAGGGGCAGCGACGGGGGGGGGGGCTGGCCCGGGGGCCGCGCAGCCATGCGAACGACCTCCCTCGTGACCAGAGTCGAGGGCAGGAGGAGGAGGAGGAGGAGGAGGAGGAGGAGGAGGAGGAGGAGGAGGAGGAGGAAGGAGGAGAAGGAGGGGCGGGGGAGGAGGAGGAGGAGGAGGAGGAGGAGGAGGAGGAGGAGAAGGAGGAGGAGAGGAGGAGGAGGAGGAGGAGGAGGAGGAGGAGGAGGAGGAGGAGGAGGAGGAGGAGGAGGAGGAGGAGGAGGAAGGGGGGGGGGGGGCAAGCCGCCCAGGAGCGGGCGTCTGCGCTACCAGGGGCCCGTCGCTGATCCGTCGGCGAAGTAGTGCAGCAACGCCGATTCCAAGTCCATGTTCCCACCCTGAGCCAGTCCCCACCTGTCGTTGCTCCTTACGGGAGCAGGTGGCGGGAAGGAGGCCACAGGCGGCGTCGGAGAGGGGGATGGGTGCTACGTGGTCGGGACGATCGACATGGAGGCGGAAAGAGTGTGGACGAAGGCCACCAACAGTCCTTGCCCACCCTTAAGAGGATTCGCTGCCGGTGTTGCCGTGGACGTGCTGGACAGCGGCCGCAGTCGGTTTCGGGCAACATTTATTGTTGGGCATCATGCCATGTCTCCGTTGCCGAGGATATGGCATCTCCCCGAAGGAGGAGGAGGAGGAGGAGGAGGAGGAGGAGGAGGAGGAGGAGGAGGAGGAGGAGGAGGAAGGGGAACGGGGCGGAGGAGGAAGCCTCTCGTTGGCAACTTGTGTTGCTCTTGGGGCCAAACAGGGTCGTCGTCGAGATGCTTTTTTGAGAGGCCTCTTGGGGTCTTTTGAGAAGCCGTTCGGGGGCGCCTGGGAGGCAGTTTTGAACTTCTTGGGGCCTCTTGGGGCCTCTTTTGGGCCTCCTGGGTGGCAGCATCTTGGGGCCTCTTGGGGGCCTCTTGGGGGCCTCTTGGGGGCCTCTTGGGGGCCTCACGGGGTACTCTTGGGGCGGAAGGCTCGAGTTTTCGGTTCGTGGTCCCCCTCTTGGGCCCCTCTTGGGGCCGTCTTGGGGCCGTCTTGGGCCGTCTTGGGCGCCTCCTGGGCCGTCTCGGGGCCCTCTTGGGCCCTCTTGGGGCCCTCTTGGAAGCCTCTTGGCCCGTCTTGGGGCGCTCTTGGGGCCTCTTGGGCCGTCTTGGAGCATCGGATGGCCGAAAAGGCGTCAAGGCCAAAATCCTTCCCAAACCATAGTAGAATTGATGATTTTAGCCTCTCGGGCCCTCTTGTGAGGCCTCTTGGAGGCCACTTGGAGGCCTCTTGGGCCGTCTTGGGGTCATCATCGGCGTCTTGGAGCGCTCTTTGGGCGTGTCGGGGGCCTCTTGGGCAGTCTTGGGGACCTCTTGGGTCAGGAGGGGGGGTAGTCGATTGCGCCCCTCCCCTAGGAGGCCACGATCCTTGTGAGGGGTGTCGAAAAATTGCCCGGTCTGGCATCTCTAGTCCGAGTGTCCCCGGGGTGTCCCGGGGGTGTCCCGCGGTACTGTTCGTCTGGGGACCCCCGAGGGCGGCCCCGCGCGCGCGAATTAGAACATTGTTAACCAGTTACTGGAGATCTTAGCACGCCCTTGGCCCGTTGGGCCGGCGAATTTCAACACCTTCCCCTGCCCCCTTTGTCCACGCACATGCCTCGGGCCATGATGCGTTCCCCCCCTGTTCATGGCCCCGCTCCTCGGATCACCTTAAGACCGATGACGGCAATCACGATTATGATGCTGATGATGTTGATGCTGTTCATGCTGACGTCACTGTTGGTGATTATGACGATGGCGGCGGTGACGACGACGAAGACAACGACTGCGCTCGTCAGGATGATCTATGCGATGCCGATGAGGACGAACACGACGCTGGCGATTACGAGGATGACGATGCTTTTGAATATGATAGTGGTACTGGTGTGGTTGGCGAGGATGTGTCAGTAACCAGCGCCGAGACCGTCACCACACGAGTCTGCCGTGCGCGGAGCTGGATACGGGGAGACGAGGAGGAGCGCGCATAGGAGTGCAGCAAGGCCAGAAAACATTAGTTGCCCTCCACTTGATCCAGCTTCGGAGGAGGAGGAAGAGGAGGAGGAGGAGGAGGAGGAGGAGGAGGAGGAGGAGGAGGAGGAGGAGCAGGAGCAGGAGAAGGAGGAGGAGGAGGAGGAGGAGGAGGAGGAGGAGGAGGAGGAGGAGGAGGAGAAGGGTCTCGTCTCACGCGTGGTTTGGGCGTCCAGACTCTGCTCTCATGTCAGATCCAAGGAGGAGGAGGCGGCGTGGTGCAGGCCTGCTGCGGGGGGACGTCGTCCGGGCCGTGCGGCTGCAACGCTGGGCACTCGAATCGGGAGGCTGGCGGGTCCCCGGACAAGAAAGATTGGTGCTGTTCGAACAAGCAGACGGGGGGTTCCCGGAAGCTTCATCCCAGCCTTCTGATCGTGACGCAGATTGTTCCAATTGGGAAGCCGGGTGGAGCGATGACAAGAAGGAGTGGTGCTGCACCAACGAGCAGAAGGGCTGTCCGAAGGGTGTTGACAGCGGACCCGTCCCAGGAGCCCACCCATGGCACGGGCCAGTGTCGTCCCACCCCCTGCCAGCATGCCCGATATGATTCGGCTTTAGCCCTGGCCATTCTCCATCCCTGCTCGAGCTGGCTTTCGCCACCCTCCCGATGCGGCCGATGCCTGCACGGCGCAGGTGAGCATCCTGTCGCAGCCGATCCGATTCGATCTCGACTCCGTGCCGATGCAGCCCGATCCGACGGAGATCCCCGATCCGATCCGATCTCCCGATCCGATCTCCCGATCCGATGTTGACCGATCCTGGAGGGAGGGGGGAATGGGGGGCAGCAGCAGCAGCAGCAGCAGCAGCAGCAGCAGCAGCAGCAGCAGCAGCAGCCGGGCCAGCCCCGCCCGAGGACCCCGGAAGAATCATGGCCAGGGCCAAAGGCGTACGCTCTCTCCGCGCTCTCTTCGGCGCGCGCGCGTGCCCAGGGGCCCTTCTTGCAGGGTCCATTTCAATCCGGTCGATGCGACTCGATACCAGATTCGGCCAGCTCGATCTGATTCGATGCCGATTCTTCGGCGATCCGATGCGGCCCGATTCGATGCGGCACGGCGCAGTTGGGTATCCGGTCGCAGCCCTTCCGCCTCGATGCCGACTCCGTGCCGATGCGGGCGGCTCCGCCGCACAACTCCTCTCCTCACCGCCCACCAAACCACCCCAACCCAACCCGAAGGCTCAGATTTACCCTCGATTTCTAGTGGGGGGGGGGGGTCCAGGAACATCGAAAAAACACATATGGAGCCCATACCCCCCCCACCCCGAAATTCGGGTCTTCGGGTTGGGTTGGGGTGGTCTGGTAGGTAGTCATCTCCGAGCCGATCTCCCGATGCGATGCTGACCGATCCTGCCTTGGGCCCTGACGTCGCCGCTCGCTTCGTCTCCCCGCGTCCTCCTCCCTGCCAGAGTTTTTCCGTTGCCCTCTGGGCGCGCTCCTCGGAGATCGCGCCAGGGCAGGGTGGTGCCCAGAGGGCGGTCCGGAGAGCGGCCTCGAGCGGATTCTGAGGAGGAGGAAGGAGGAGGAGGAGGAGGAGGAGGAGGAAGGAGGAGGAGGAGGAGGAGGAGGAGGAGGAGGAGGAGGAGGAGGAGGAGGACCAGTGTAAGCCCAGGCGCATCACTGATGCTTCAATAATCCCTCCCTCCAGTTTCCTTCTACATAGCTCTTTGCAAGGGTTCATGTTTATTCAGGCAACTGCTCCTTTGAGAAACAACCGTCTGAGAATTCCCAATCGTGCCAAAACACCATTCTTGGGACTTTATGTTGCGAATCAGCGTGACTGTTGCGTCCAAGCAATCCGAAACCGTGCCAGAGCGTTCTTGGGGCTGCAGCATCGCGAATCAAGATGATTGTTGCGCGTCCTGACGGCTTTTAATCTTGCCAAAACACCATTCCTGGGACTTCACCCTGCGACTCCTTGACTGCGATGCAAACTTCTATGACGAATCTGCGCGGCGCGAAGGCGAGATTTTCATTTGAAAGGAACCCGCCCTCTGTCTAATGGCCTTCGGCCCATCCCGCCACCGTGCCTTGGTTGTAGGTATGCAGCCTATTGGATGATCGTTGGGATCTCTTGGGAGGCCTCTCGGGGGCCTCTTGGGGGCAGTTTTGAGGCCTCTTGGGTGCCGTTTCGGGGCATCTTTTACGCCTCTTCGAGGCCTCTTGGGGCCTCTCTTGGGGCCTCCCGGGCGCCTCTTGGGGCCTCCTGGGGGCCTCTTGGGGCGGAAGGCTCGGATTTTCTTCGTGTTCCCTCTCTTGGGCCCCTTTTTGGGCCCGTCAAATGGCCCTCTTGGGCCGTCATGGGCGCCTCTTGGGCAGTCTTGGGGCGCTCTTGGGCCATCTTGGGGCCCTCTTCGAGGCCTCTTGGACCGTCTTGGGGTGGTCTTGGGGGCCTCTTGGGCCGTGTGGGAGCGTCGGAACGCCGGAGAGGCGAACCCGCCCAAATCCTTCAAACGCCAACGGGAAAGCAATGATTTTGGCCTCTTGGGGCCCTCTTGGGAGGCCTCTTTGGGCGTCTTGGAGGCCTCTTGGGTCTTGGGCCGTCCGGGGGCTATCTTGATCGTCTTGTAGCGATCGTTCGGCGACTTGGGGCCCTCTTGGACCGTCGTGGGGGCTTCTTGGGGCCATTTTGGCCCGTTTTGGGGCCCTCGTGGGCCCGAATGATTTGCGCGACAACACTTCCCCGAGCCCTGGGGGCACGCGGGAAGCGACGGGGGACACGCGGGAAGCCCCAGAGGGCACGCGCCAAGCCTTAGGAGATGTGAGAGCGAGGGGTTCGGGTCCCTTAAAAACACTCCTCAGGAGTGAGGAAGAGGCTCAGAGGAGTGGGCAAAGGACCTCAGGACGAACCGATTCCGTGCCCAGCGGCACAGTGGCGGATCTTTGACAATGTTGCAAACTTGTAAGGCGAATGTGCGCGGCGGTAAGGCGAGAGCCACATTTTGAAAACCAGCTTCCTCTATCCTCGAAGCTGCTGCAAACTTGTGAGACGAATGTGTGTGTGTGTGTGCGTGTGTGGCGCGACAGCGAGAACAACACTTTGAAAACCAGCCGCCCCCATCCTTGAAATTGTTGACCGTTTCAAGCTTCATGACCATAAGTGGTCAGGAGGTCTCAGGAGAAACGCCCGGCCCGCTTTACCGATATGTCTAGGGGCGCGACAGGAAACAGTTTTTTACAAGGAAGGGGGATGGAGGAGGAGGAGGAGGAGGCGGCGGCGGAGGAGGAGGAGGAGGAGGAGGAGGAGATGGCTCACGGGGTTTCCGTATCACCAGAACAGAACATAACATAACAGAACAGGAAGAGGAGGAGGAGGAGGAGGCGCTAATTAGCAGTTGCAGAGCGATGTCAGGACAGGAGGCCCTTGTCGCCCATTCGGACGATGAAGTGATGAAGTTCATCACGCGCGATATCCAAGCAGACTGACTAAATCATTTTGAAACCCTGGGTGCGCCTCTGGATCCTGACTGGCAGGCCGTCCGGCCAGGTGTCGTAGTTGTCATTCGGCATCAGACCATCCTCCAGGCCGCGCAAATAGCTTACACCAGCTTTGGTCGGTGGCCCGCACAACTTCTGGAGGTTCTTGCACGAGCTCTAGCGGTTTGCGGAATACGTAATGCATCTGCAACGACGAAAGGAGGAGGAGTATGAACGCCTTCATGCCTGCCGCCCTTCTGGAGCACCCCAGGCCTGATTCGCCCCGAAGGTTTGGCCGAGGATCGCTCCAGGATGCGTCCCGGGACAGAGCTCGAGGGACGGGCTCTGGCATTTGCGAGCGCCGTTGAAGGATCACGCTTGGCGCGCCCGCCTCCGTTCGGCGTGCTCGAGGAACGTCCTGCACGGAGATGTGGCCGAGGGCTCGGGTGATCAGAACCACTTGCGACCGATTTCCCGCCCCCAGTCAGGCCGTTTAGGCTGTTCGGACGCACCCCTATCGAGGATGAACGGCCCCCTCTTCGTTTATTTTCGACCTGGGCGCAAAGTTTTGTTCCAGTCGGAAATCCCGCAACGTTGGGGATTTGGGATTTAGATTGCCATACCCCCCATTTACCAGCACCATCCGGAGGCGAGGTCGGAGGTGTCAGGCGCCTCTACGGTCTGAGGCGCCCGGCCCGCGTGTTGGCAGCGTGCCTCCTCGGCTCTTCCGTCGTTGGGGGCGAGTCGGCATTGGCCTTCGCTTCCCGCTGGATCCAGGGGTTGGTCGTAGTATTTTTTTTTCTGGGCGCTTCCGCGCCCCGCAGGTGGTGGCGTTGGTGCTCCCTTCTCCCCGCCCTCCCCCCCTCGTCTTCGCTTCCCCCTTGCCCTTCTCTTCTGCAGTTCAACAAGATGTGACCAGGCGCGCGGTGCTGAAGCCGTCTCGGGGCCTCTTGAGCAAGGATGCCTTCTGGGGCCCATACGGAGTCCCACTCACACGGGCATGTAAAGGCGAGAGTGTTTCTGAACATGCATTTGTTAATATCTTGCGGGGATTGGCGGTCGTGGGCATTTCGGGGGGTACTTCCGTCAGGGACCGCTCGATTTTTTGCAGTGTTGGTTCAGAACTTGTCTTCGTCTGAAGACGCGAGAATGTTAGGTCCACAAGGCTCACGCCTCCTTTGGCGATTTAGGAAGTGTTAGGGGCAAGTTTGCGTGGTCATTCCACCGATCAGACCAACGTTGATTTGGTTTCATTTGTTGATCCCATTGCAGGGCACTCAGCGCAGGCATGTATTTAAAGCACTTTGCAACTGCGTATGCTATGAGCAGTTATGCGTATTCTTTGCAGCACGTACCGTTTTTTTTTTTTTTTTTTTTTTTTTTTTTTTTTTTTTTTTTTTTTTTTTTTTTTTTTTTTTTTTTTTTTTTTTTTTTTTTTTTTTTTTTTTATTTAATTTTTTTTATATATATATATATACATATTTAAACAAACAAACTGCGCGGTGAATATTGGCAGGTTTCGATTTTTCTCGGGCTGTGACACATGGTTACATTCAATTATCCAAGCGTGCTCATATTGGGCTCCGTCTGTGCGTGGTCCACATGATCCAAGCCCAACAGGTTGGATAACATGTGCAGCTTTCTTGGTCTCGTCGTTCGCTTCATTCAAAGCAGAAGAGCTCAGTAAGGACGCGCGGTTGACCCGCTAGGCCTAGTGTTTTTTCCTTTCGCCAGCGTGTGATCCGCCCTATAGTCGTCCTCGCCACCCCAAGACATCATCATTGGCCTCATCCTCCAATTGCTCCTCGTCTTCCCTTGCCGTCCTGCCTGCGGTACCCCAATGACAGTGGCAACGCCAGGCTTCGGGATTCACTGCTGATAGTTTTCACGGTATGTTAATGGTGTGGGCGGTTATTTTTCCGATTTGGAGTTCGGACTATTCGATATGCGATCGTGTCTTGAGCATCGACAGCACACTGCTCGCTACTATCGCGACGTCCTTGTATCCTTCCCGTTTACATGCAAGCTTGTTTCTGCATTGTTACCCGCGGAGGCCATTCGGGAGTAGAAGAGCTCATGAAGGCACTGGACAGCAATTCGGAGCGAGGGATGATGACGACAGGAGAAGTGGCGGACGAGGGCCAGCATACACCCATGATGTACCAACGATGTTGCTGCCCAAGGTCTTTTAGCATCCCTATTCTAGACGCTTCGCGTAACCCCCCATCAGCACACCCAGAAACACTGCTCAGGCGAGCTGCCCTGATCAGGCATATGGGGGAGCACGGCTGGGAAGCCGTCTGAGTCATACCCCAAGAGGGGACGGATTGAGGCGGGGTGGGGGGAGGGGGGTCTTTTGGGAGCCTCGAGGGAGCCTCTTGGAGGTATCTCTGGGTCGTCTTGGGGGTCTTTTGGGGCCTCTTGGGCGCTTCTTGGGGCCCTCTTGGGGCACTCTTGGGAGCCTCGGGGTTTCTCTTGGGGCCATCTTGGAGGAGATCAATCCAAGGGGGGGTCGTAATAAACTAGGGTCCCCCCCCCAGGAGGCCAACATGTGGCCAAAGTCGTAGTACCATCAATGATGCGTAAGGGCTTCGCCCCCTGCCGCCGGCCCCCTCTCTCGGAGAATGGGCCATGGAAGAGCTAAGTCATGAGGCTTTGGCGCTGTCGTGCAGCAGTATCGGAACTTCATGCGAGGCCGATTCGCAATCGGCAAAACCAACTGATCACAAGAGGGGTTACCACACAGGGCGATTGGTAAGACGTGTATGGTTTACGAGCTTGGTTACCACACCTTGGGATTAAAGGGCCGAGGGAGTACTCGCAGTTTGGTTACCACGCCTTGCGATTTATGTGCGTGAGGGGTGGCACCGAATTTCAGAAATGTGGCAAATCCCTTGTGTTTTTGGACCCTGACCCCGCGGATCTGCGTGAGGGGTGGCACCGAATTTCAGAAATGTGGCAAATCCCTTGTGTTTTTGGACCCTGACCCCGCGGATCTGCGTGAGGGGTGGCACCGAATTTCAGAAATGTGGCAAATCCCTTGTGTTTTTGGACCCTGACCCCGCGGATCTGCGTGAGGGGTGGCACCGAATTTCAGAAATGTGGCAAATCCCTTGTGTTTTTGGACCCTGACCCCGCGGATCTGCGTGAGGGGTGGCACCGAATTTCAGAAATGTGGCAAATCCCTTGTGTTTTTGGACCCTGACCCCGCGGATCTGCGTGAGGGGTGGCACCGAATTTCAGAAATGTGGCAAATCCCTTGTGTTTTTGGACCCTGACCCCGCGGATCTGCGTGAGGGGTGGCACCGAATTTCAGAAATGTGGCAAATCCCTTGTGTTTTTGGACCCTGACCCCGCGGATCTGCGTGAGGGGTGGCACCGAATTTCAGAAATGTGGCAAATCCCTGTGTTTTTGGACCCTGACCCCGCGGATCTGCGTGAGGGGTGGCACCGAATTTCAGAAATGTGGCAAATCCCCTGTGTTTTTGGACCCTGACCCCGCGGATCTGCGTGAGGGGTGGCACCGAATTTCAGAAATGTGGCAAATCCCTTGTGTTTTTGGACCCTGACCCCGCGGATCTGCGTGAGGGGTGTCGATTTCGAGCCCCCCCAGCAATTCAGACAACGCGCCCAGGGGGTGCTAAAAATCCCGTTTGGGCCTCCCCCCCCCTCGCGCGGTCAATCAACTAGTTACAGTAACCAGCAAGAAGCAGAACTGTAACACTGGAAACTACAAGCTACAACTGGTACAGGAAACTGCGAATCACGGTCCTACAGCCTGGTGGCCCCACAAGGGGGCCGGCGGATTTTCGCTTCCTCGCTGAGGCCGTTTTGGCCGCTCTAACCCCTCGCCGCCCCCCCTCCAGACCCAGGGGGAGGGGGGAGGAGTGGAAGAAGGTCGGTCGGAAGAGGAACCGCTCTAAACCACTCACGCCCAGAAGGCTGGAAGGAGGTCAACATGTTGCCCAAACCTTACTGGTCTTTGTGATTTTGACATTCTCGCCGAAGCCTCTTGAGGCGTTTTGGGTGCCTGTAGGGGGCCTCTTGAAGCCTTTTGGGGGTCTCTTGGGATCCTTCTGCTGGCCTCTTGGGGGCCTCTTGGGGCCTCTTGGGCACCTCTTGGGGCCTGGGGCACCCGTGGGCGCCTCGGGTGCCACCTTGGGGCCATCTTGGAGGAGATTGATCAAAGGAAGGACCTTAGTACATTGGCTCCCCCATGAGGCCACAATGTGGCCAAAACCTTTGTACCATCAATGCTTTTGGCTTCCTCGCCGAGGCCGTTTTGGACGCTCTCACCCCTCGCCGCCCCCCCGCCCCTCCAGGCACGGGGTCCAGGGGGTAGGGTGACGGGTCAAGCTATCCACCCGCCCGCAAGCCGTCTAGCTCACTCCCACCCTCCATCCCAACACACGAGTAACCCCCGAGCCTGAGCATGTTCAGCGGTCGTCTTTGGATGGACAGCTATTGGGAACCAACACCGACCCCAGGTGCGCGACGTTTGGGCAAGGTGCGCCACGCGTGCCAGGGGCGGCACGCGCGCCAGGCACCCTGAGGGCCCCTGGGGCCCGAGCGTGCCAGGTTCGCCTTGTGCGCCACGTGCTCCGCGTGCGCCAGGTGTGCCGCATATTCCAGCCGCGTCAGGTGTGCAACGTTCGGGGCACGTGCAGAGTGCGTCAGGTGCGCCCGCGCACGTGACAGCACACATCGGGAAACATGCCGGCCCCCCGCCATCCTTGTCGAAAACCAATGCCCATCACTGTGTCTGGTGGGATGGTGGGCCTGCGCACAGCAGGCCACGCGCCATAATCCCCGCCGTCCATGTCAATTTCTCGACGCGAAGATCCCCATATGAGCATTTCACAGTGATGCCATGATTCGGTAGAAGACATGGTCCTTTTGAATATCTGAGTGTCAGCGAACGAAGCCGAGAGAGACGCCGACGACTACGACGACTTTAACTCGTCGTTTTATCCTTCTTTTCTCCTCCTCCTTGTTCTCCTCTTTCTCTCTTTTTTTTCTGAGCACCCGTCAGGATAGTCCAGCCGTGAAGACGAGAATGCCAAGGAAACTCGAACAGTGCATGCCGATCTTTCGCCCGCAGACGTACAAGATCTGCCAGGGCTTGCCGCCGATCGAGACCGTCCGCACCTGGCATCGGGCCGATGAGACAGGCGATCATTTACACGGCCAGAGAACACTTGCCGTCAGCACTTGGCATCGGGGCGGCAACCGAGGCCGGCTTGTGCAACGGCAGCGGAAAAACCGATCGGGGTATGACCGTCCGCACTTGACATCGGGCCAAAGAGAACTAAAGCGGCTATTCTTCGTTCTCTGGCAGCACCATTCCGTACTCGGCGACCTCAGCTGCTCTCTCCACCGTCAGTTTCTCGTTGTGTTGGAAGCCTTCGGTGGACCTTTTTTCCAGCAGCCAGCGAGGCGGCGGCCGCACCAGCAACATGTCTGCCATTCGGGTGGCGCGGGAGAACATGACATAAAAAGGTTCAGCCACCATGCGTCGTCATCAGTGCCGCGCTGTCCCTGGGGCTCCTGGCGCGCGCAGTCGATGGTCACAGCGCCGCGTATCGTCTGTCCCTGCAGGCCGTCGATCTTCGAATGTTTTTCTTCGGCTTCAGCCTCTCGGCGACCATTTTCACGCGGCTAGAGCGGAAGCCTTGGCAGGTTCCTTCTCCAGCCGAAGCGAACGCGGGAGAGGGAGCCTTTGCAGGTTCCCCCTCTTGCGGTTGAAGCGGGAGCCTTTGCAGGTTCCCTCTCCAGCCCATGCGAACGCGGGAAAGGGGAGCCTTTGCAGGTTCCCTGTCCCGCGGCTGGAACGGGAGCCTTGGCAGGATCCCTTTCCAGCCGAAACGAAAACGGGGAAGGGAGCCTTTGCAGGTTCCCCTTCCTGCGGCTGGAGCGGAAGCCTTTTCAGGTTCTCTCTCCAGCCGAAACGAACGCGGGAGAGGGAGACTTTGCAGGTTCCCACTCCCGCGGCTGGAGCGGAAGCCTTTAGAGTTTCCCTCTCCTGTCGAACGAAGAGAGCTGTGCTCCTGACCGTCGTCCTCGCGGACGATCGTGGTCATCCTTGTCCCGTTCCTCTCCTGGATTCGAAGAAGTCCCACGATGCCTCTGGGAATCCGCCCGCCCGCGACCCACGCACGCAGGCGCCATGACCTGCGCGCCAGCATATCGGAATCCCTGTGCAACGAACGCGCTAACAACATATGGCCACATGTCATCGGTACATCGTCCACAATGCCGAGTGTGGTGTCTCGAAAATTACCATCGCAATGGTGACTTGATGCCAGTAGCATGGCCTTTTCGGATTATGCAATTTCCATCCCGTCCAGGAGGACGAGGGAGGAGGGAGGAGGGACGGGAAGAGGAAAGAGGAAATAATAAATAGGGATGAGGGAGGAAGGAAGAGTGGGATGAAGAGGAGGGAGGAGATGGATGACGACGTGGAGGATGAGGAACAAGAGAGATAAGGAAGGAGGAAGGAGGGAGGAGGGACGATGGAGGAGGGAGGGGGGGAGGGGGGGAGGGAAGAGATGAGGAGAGGATGAGGAGGACCTCCCCCTCCTCCTCTTCCTCCCCCTCCCTCTTCCCCTCCTTCCTCCTCCTCCTCCCCCTCCTCCTCTTCGTCTTCCTCCTCCTCATCTTCTTCCGTTCCTCCTCGGCCTACTCCGTTCGTCCTCCTCCGAACTCCGACGGCCTCCGGCGGGGGTGTCCGCAAAACGATGTGCTGGGTGGAAGAGAAGCGTGCGAATACCGCCGTTGGGGCTGTAGGTGGAGCTCCCGATGGGGCCACGAAGCGTTGTGCTGGGTGGGGGGGACGCATGCGGACATCGCCACCGCCACTGGGGCCGTGGGCCCCCAACAGGCAAACCGCCTGAGACATCCCCGCAATCTATGCGCGAATCCTGGAATGTCCTGACCTCTGCCGCCCCCCCCCCCCCTTGGGAGTGCTGAAGCCCGCGCTTCGCCTGAAACCTCTTCAGAAACTGTTCCGAAAACAAGAGATGTTGGGCACCGAAAGCGGCTGACCGCCTGAGACATCCCCAGAATCTGGGCGCGAATCCTGGAGTGTCCTGACCCCTGTC